CTATGTGTGTGACAGAGAATGAATAATAATAAACCAGGCAATCGATTCAAGGTCCAGGGTGTAACATTTAGAAGGATCTATTGGTAGAAATGGAATATGATATTCATAGGTATGTTTTCATTAACGTATAATCACCTGAATATAGGAATTATTGTTTTTAATCACCTAAGAATGAGCCGTTTATCTACAGATTTAACTTTGAGTCATTTATCAAACAACAAGAGCCATGCTCTGTGAGGTTTGAGGTAAATGCTAACATGCTCACAGTGACAGTGAAGGTTTAATGTTTAAAAAAGGCAAAATGCTGCAAGTAATGTTTACCATGATCACTATCGTAGGTGCTAGCATTCAGCTGCTACTAAACATAAAGTACAGCTGAGGCTAATGGGAATTTGTTTTGCAGGTATTTACTCATAAACCAATGTATTGGACTAATTACATTTCTGATCTGCGGGTGGTGCTAGATGAAACGCGAAGGGAACGAATTAAGATTCATCGTCCGGGGTCCGTCAGTGTCAGTACAAGATTTCATGGCAGTAGTTTTTGATATATTTCATTCTGGGCCAAAGTCAGAAACAAATTGCCATCCCTAGAGATGCTAAATTTACACATTTTCTGGTTGTAGTCTCTGGAGTGTGAGGAATTACAGCTTCTCTCTCTTTTATACAATTGCTGCTGAAAAGCTACTAAATGGACCTTGTGTTGAGATTATTTTGTCTACTTCTATTTCCAGGTCGAAATAGAACTCAACCTCAAAGCAGAATTCTCAAATTTAACTCAATCTGCTTCACTTTATTGACAACTTCTCCATTGTGCTGTACTTTATTAGGAATATCAGTATATCAGTATACTGTAGTGTATCAGTACAGTAAAATATTTGTCATTTCCAAGGTTTCATGTCATTAGTGTACCCAATAAAACAGCAAATGCCCCAGATGTTTTTTTTCCCCATTCAGATTATGTGTATCATGCTGGGCAGTTCATTAGTTCTGCTTAAATCAGACGCCGGCTGATTGGAAGACTTCATCAACAACAAGGCTTATTCGGGTCTGTGATGTGTCACCTGTCACCAAATGAGCGTCCAGGCAGCCACTGACTATATTAAACCAGGATCTCAGTGACCGGAGCTTTGAACTGAAGAAGCCGAGCCTGACAGCCTCCATGGTAATGTGACATCAAAGACGTGTGCAGCATATGAACTTCATTAGTGGAGTGCACCGCCAGCAGAGGAAAGAAAATACCTACTGTTATTATTATTGAGTCACAGAGGGATACACATGCTCCTACTGTGACACAGAGATATACGTACATGCAAAGAACACACAGAAGACACTGTTGTTAGGAAGTGCATGCTTCCACTGTTCCCAGCGACCCCTGCTTCAAGACGATGTAAAGCATGCAGGAAATGTCTCATGGCGACTTCCTGGCCTGTTTTAGAGCTTTGAGAGAGGAAGAAGTTCAGGGAGGATTCAGGAGGCAAAGAGGAGGTTCGTCGAAGACAGTAACTGTTGCCTTGCTTGCAATAGGCTACTAATACTAAGTGTTAGCATGTTCACTTTAATCGTAGCAACAGAATATGTTGTCATGAGGTAAATTAGCATTAATCTAAGACGGGGGAAGAAAAATAGAAAGAGACACATTTGTTACAGATATTTAAATTGGTCTGAGCTCTCGGCCTGCTGACCCTGCACATCTGCAGTCTTTCGACTGACTGGTAGTTATTGTACCAGCTGGCCCGAATGGAAATGTTTCCTGTGTTTACCACACACCGGTGTTGCTCTGTAGATTGTTTTGACCCATGTTTGCATGCACCGAGTCAAAGCCAGCTATGCAATTTTACAATGGAAATGTTTGTTTTTCCAAATAGCAAGCTGGTACTGGCAATCTTGGGTTCCCACTGTATGATTATCTTATTGAGTGACATACTTTCCTTCAGGGCAGCATGCAGTGGCAATTAGGGAATATCTGCTTTTCCCCCAAAGTGTAGATGCTAAGCCCCGAATGAATGCTGTGCTTTGTGTAACTATTGTTAACTGGTGAAATGTGAAACCTGCTTCAAATTGATGTGGAGCGGTGTAAAGTTGCATTAAAGGGCCACCTGATTTTGGAGCCCAGTTAAGTGCCTTATCAGTCATACTTACACAGCACCGGTGGATGATACTGTAGCAGAGGGCTGTCGATGCTCTACTGGTCCTAATAGTATTGGGACGGCGGTCCACGCGGCGCAGGGGTGAGGTGGGAGACGCCCCTGTGACACGCTGTCAAAAACAACTGTGGAACTTTCTCACACTGTAACCCAGTATTCCCAGGGAAAGGCCTTTGAGAGGGGGATCGTTTCCTCAACATCTACACCACTTTGCTGTGCCGCTCCTGAGGAAGCCGGGTTCCTGCAGCTCCAGCTGAACAGGGGTCCCTCTCTCTCTTCTCTACTCCAGCAGGGGCCCGTGCATGCTGCTGGGGAGACAAGCAGAGCTGCTCAATGGATCCTCTCATGTATCAATTACCTAAAATATCAAACAGCACGTAAGAGGGCGGTTGACTTGTTTGTTTGACTTTGGTGGTCAGAAAGATTTCTGGCCAAAAGTCTGAGATGTGCAAAAGAGTGAGAAAAAGTTTATTTACCGCAGCGGATGCGTGAGGGAAGCTGGGTCATTTGTCGTCTGAATGACTTATCGCTATCACAATTCAGCGCCCAGGAAATTCAATTCTATGCTGCACAATACAGGCAGACAATAATGAGCAAACAATCAATCTTGTACAGTTATTGAGGTGAAAGAAAGTTCAGCAAAGGCCGAGCTTTGGTGCTGCTGTGAAGATAAAGGACACAGTCTGGGTTTTCAGGTTAAAAATCTTCCTTTTTGGCACAAAAATGCTAACACAGGTTTTATAATACATCATTTTGTTTGGCTACATTTTGGGCCGAGACCTGCATTTGTGTCTTATCATGTCACCATCATAGGCGGGATTGTCCAGAAACAATGCAGAGAGCTAACAAACACTGACTCCTGACAGGTTTTGAAAAGCCGGACCCACTGGGACTCTATAGGCAGCGTGTGAGGCAGGGGGGGGGCTGCTTTTGTCATGATAACTACGACTCTGAACTCTTGACATGCACATAGGATGGAGGGCGTTAATGCAAAAGAGTGATTTGCCTCGTGCTGACGAGGGAGAGAATTTAAACAAATCTACAAGTGTATGGGAAAGTAAGAATTAGTTAAACTAACAATGAAACCAGTGTAACGTCATACTGCATCCACACATGCTCCGTAGCCGCACCCAAAGACTTCAGAGGTCTGATTTACATAAAAAGTGAGGATCAGTGGAGGGGGTGAAAATGGCAACATGATCAGTAACTAAACCAAACTCCCTTTTTTTTTACCAACCCTGTCTGCCCCCCCTGGAAACTGCGACCCTGCATTGAAACGGCCTGATTGTCAGCAGACTGGCCTGTGAGTGCAGCAGCTCTTTGATACCAGGAACGGGGGGGTTAAAGAGGAGGAGCGGGGAAGTGGCCACAAAAGCCTTCTGTTGCAGTCTGGGAGTGGGGTTACCTGCCCTGCTCTCTGCGGTGGGGTCTAATTTTCACACATTGCATGTGCATGCATACACATATGCAAAGTGCAAAAACCTCCCTCTTTCAACACACACAACACACACCACACACACACACACACACACACTCAAACACAGCTGCTGCTGGAGTTTGAGGGGCGAGGAGTGTGCATGTAGTTCCTCGGGGGACAAATGAGGTTTGTTTGTCAAGTATTCAGAGCACGACAGCAGGACAAAAGCAGCCACATAACCAAAGTACTAGGTGACAGATAGTCATTGTTCTCGAGGAAATGACATAGACAAGCTGCTGGAAACAGACAGGGATGTTTCCTGCTACGTTAAATTCTTTTTTTTTTCAGTGTGAACTAGGTCTCGTTGTTGGTGGGAACAGATTTATCAGCCAGTTTCACAGCTGCAACGCCTCTCTGAAGTACTGAAAGACCAGTGGGTTTAAATGAAAATGTTGGGGGGGAAATCTTGATTATCCCCACAGGAAGCTAACAGGGTAAAAAAGCTCTAAAATAAGTATATAAACAGTCTGATTGAAATAAATTTAGACATACAGTGAGGTGTAGCAAGACCTGACGTCTGGACCGAGTGTTTGACCACAGCGGTATCAGAAATCTATGCAAGACAAAGTGGTTATTAAATGACTGAATGTTAATTAAAACCCAGACCTATAATAGTATGACAATGTGCAGGAGCAAGGAGTGTGAAGTGTGTTTGCTTGAGAAGGGAGTGGCAGGAGAGGAAACAAACCTAGAATTACATCGACAGGAGGTCAGAAAAGTCCAGCCGCTCAGAGACATAAAAGAGACACCTCAGGAAACAAAAGCTTCAAAGGTAAATGATCTACGAGAGGCTGTTAAAGCCAGACCCTCCCTGCTCCTCAGACAAAGTCAATGACAAGATGCTTCATAATTAATATTCCTCGTCCGAACTGTGTCTGGTCACACCCAATAATCTCTCTCCCTCTCTGTCCGACCACAGGGATACTATTCCTGATAAATGGCTTCAATACCCGTGACATAGTTGTCCAGTTTTACTTCACTCAAAATGCATAACATAATTACTGTATGTAGTTGTCTTAACATTTAGTCTGCGGGCCGTTATAGATTCTTCTGCTGCTATTGTTAATTTTATAATGATCCTAGCCCAGTTTTTGGTTAAGTTAGAGTTAAATATGCATTAGTAGTCTTACATGTCACTGTTTATATCAGAGGGTGTTTCGTTCAGTGGTGTTTGTCTGGTCCACTATTTCCGAAACGTCAAGTGCACCAAAGGAGATTTAGTATTTAATTTGCAGCAATCCAATCTGCTCATTTTTCACGGTCCTCCAGACTTGTGTTTCAGATTTTTTTTTCATCAAGAGGCCTTGTTTGTAGTAGACATTTTTATCATAGCACGAAAATGACATTAAACAACACTTGGAAAAAATGTAGACAGACTATCAGTGTTAAAATGAACCACTTTACTCTTGCACAAGACATCCATAGAGTACATTTTCAATAGAAAAATAAAATTGCCTGCTTTGGCGCACATTTGAATGTAATTGTGCCTCTCTTCAAGAACAATCCAAACCAACACACACAGTTCAGATAGATTTCAAAGTGTTCATGTCTCTTTGCAGCAAATATTCCTTCAGCAGAACACACATTCATCAAGCTTATCTTTTGGTTCATGTGTAGTTTCGTTTGTCAGAAAAAGAAAAAAGAAAAATCAGACAGATGCTCGTCACAGTAAAACATGAAAGGAGGCGCCGACAGCAAAAAGCTCAAAGAGAGGCAGGAACCGTGCATAGGAACCAGTTAAATCAGCAACATAGAAGAACTACAAACGGAAAAGTGTTTATTGAACACAGTTGTGGTTAAACAGCAGATTAAGAAGATTTATAAAGAAATTCTGTCTGAACCACATTGGAACCCCCTCCTACCCTTTTCCATCCAAAATTAGTTTATTTTAAATATAGTTTTAATGAATTCTCTCGCACATAAATAGCATCATTATTGCTCATTAGAAAAACAAATCTCAAACAAAAAAAAAAAAGTACAACTCACATACTGGCATTTAAACCTACAATGTGGCATTTTATTGGCCATGACGAAGCTAAAGCAATGGCAAAAATAAAAGGTTAGCGACTGACTTGACTTACTTAAAACTATGAAAATAAGCATTTCAAAGCTTTATCATAGTTAAAGTATTCTACGTATGAAAAGTAACTCATCAGAAATAAATCTATTGTACACAGTTGCTGAAGTGAAATTAACACAAGGGAACTAAATCATTCATCTATACATGTAATAGGTCCAAATAAAACAGCCAAATTATGTTTGTTTAGTGAGTATTTACAAGTTTTTAAGATAATCAGTGTTACGGATTAGCTTCATTTATTTTAAATGTGTCATTCATCGGCGCCGTTAGTTTGAGATGACCGAATGTGATCGCCAGAGGCTTCTTCACCAGACTCGTCTACATCCTGATCCTGGAAGAGAAGAAACATCAGTGAATCAGACACGTGCCCCTTTATGTTCATCTGACAGCATTTCAACATGACGTTCTCAAAGCTTGTTTCACTCTTGTATCGTGCAGTTGTAACTGTAACTGATAATGTCTGAACCTTCAAACGTCCCTGGTGCTTCAGAAACACTTCATTCAGTGTGACAGTTTATAAAGTTTTGCAGCTATATATGTATATATTAATGGGATAAGAGGCAAGGAGAATAATTGATAAATATGGAGACGTACAACAGACAGACATTATCATAAGTGTGATAACATTCCCACCTGATAAAGTAATAATGTAATAAAAAATAACAGGCTAAATAAATAAATATAATTTTCCAAATCACTGTGTGACTAATGAAACGTTATATAATAAAGATTAAAAACATAAGCCCACGGTGGACACTGGATCTCTACCACACCAATAAAAAAATATTACATATCTAAGCTTTTAGGACGCATTTATTAATCATTTTACTCTAACATGATGCACAATAACCGCAGGGTGGACAGATACATGAAGAAATGTTACAAATGTCATGTCTAAAAGGGGATTTGAGTCCATTTCCTGCCTGAAGATAAAACTAATAGATTAACAATGTGCTGATTCTTTAAAATGGTTCACCTTTTTCAGCACTGCCAGCAGCCCTTTGACAGTGGACATCAAGGTGTTGGACGTCTTGTTAATCTGGTCGTGGTAGATCACCTTCTGCTCCTCCACAGTCTTTAGGGTCTCTTCAGTTTGGCTCAGAGTGCTTTTCACCTCCTCCAGCTCCCTGGACAAAGTTTTGTTGGCTTGCTCCAACTGCGCTTTCACCTTTGCATCTTCATCTGGAGAGACACAAAGTTCAAGGTAGGTTGATTATTCAGAGTTTGAACAAAGAGGAACCTTTGAGCCAAAATTTACATCCAGTTTCCAGTATCTTGGATTATACGTCGTTCACATTGAATTTCATGGACAGTGTTGATGTTTAAGTGCTGCTGATTTAATAAACAGCCCATTTAATCATACAGTATAAATTGTAGGAACTCCTTGTTGTGATGCTGATGATCTATTCTGTCTGTTATGTTTGTGTCAGGATTATTGTCTTTATTGGTGAGACAAGGACACATTTCCTGCTCTGGTGGGACAATTGAGTCTAGTCTCTTAATTATTTTTTATTCTGTATTGATTGATTTTATTTATAAGTGTCCGGCACCATTCTGTGGTTACAAGACACTAAAGCAACATCAGCCAAGAGACGTAAATCAAATCGTAATATACTGTTCTACACATTCGAAAAAGAAAACATTTCATGAGATTCAATTGTCATGCAATTTCTATAAATCTTGCGAAAAACAAAAATCTCCTCCCCTAAACATTTTACCTTCAAACAACCGAAATAAATCAGGTTTTTCATTTGGGTTTTTTGAATTGAAACTCATCCTCAATAGCATAAAAGGCACAGTGGGACTATTTCCTGTACCGTCACAATGAAAAACAGTATAGCTGAATCCCGTTTTATACGTTGTATGTTGCCGTCGGTAGCAATGTGCCAGTCCACGTTTCAACAGAAATCACCGACAGAAGGATTCTGAATGAAGTGAGACCGGGCTCTATTGTAGCAAAGCTCAAATTGAGCCAGATCATTGTCCAGATGGACTACTGACACAGAGTGTAGCTTGCAACTCATGAGACTGTGATGCCATTTACAAAAACAACATACAGTGTAATGCAATTAAAATCATACCCATTTTGACATCCTGCATCATGAGCTTCTGTTCTATCTCCTCTCTTGCTTTCTCACTCTTCTCCAGTTTCTGCATCATGCTGCCAACGTCGACCATAGCTCCATTATACACGATCAGATTACCAGACTCAGTCGTCTCTGACGGAGCGCGAGCTTTTGGAGCAGGAAGTAGTCCTCGGTTACCTGACAGAAAAAGAGAGACGAGAATTTCATCAAATTAAATAAATAAATCAGCTGCAGTAGCTGTCCACCACGTGATAGCTGTGGCTAATTTGATCTCTTTTTATGTAATTGTGAATCGTTAATTGACTGTATTAAAAACAGTGATGGAGTTTTGACCATAAAGATTCATGTCAGCTCACCTATGAGGTTTTCTATCTGGGCTTCATTAAAGGAAGGAATGGGTTCATCCTTTCCCCGGTCTGTCAGTTTACGGTAGTAACAGGACTCTCTGACCACCGGTTTATTAAGCAGCTTTTTTATCTGGAAACAAACAAAAATCAACATGAAGTCAGGTTTATCTGCAGGCTGATGTAAGTGAGCAAATAATAATAACAGATCCAGAAACAAACCATGGATATGATTAGGTTTGTGTGTGTTCACCTGAGCACGAGAAAGATGCAGTCCCAGTGTGTACAAGATCTCCTCCAAGTCTCTCTCCAGCAAATAGCCACAGTGGCTTTGGTCAAAGTAGACAAACGCCATCAGCAGCTCTTTGTTGTGCGTGACCATCTGCTTCTTCTCCTGGTGCAACAACAACCACCACATTTATACCAACCACCATGTTTACGCTACACCAATGTCTTAAAAACATACAACCATAACCAACCAACCTTGTCTTTAGAGGACCTCTCTTTTGACGACTTGCGGTCATCCTTGCGGTCTTTCCTGTCTCGGTCATTGAGGTCGTCGTCATCCTTGTCTAAGAAATATCAACAGAAACATCCAATTGAAAAGTGGAACAAGGTTGTGCCAATACATCATTAAATATTATTAACTAGTGTGTTTAGTCAGTGTGAATACAAAAACATTTAAATATCCAAAAAAACAAAGCAATTGTTTCCCACTTAAGGCCTCAGAAACTGTGGAAATGTTATCCATCACAGGTTCAGCGTGGTGCATGATTTCTCATCATTGACCAAATCATATTGTGGGAAATTCAAAAAGAATCTATCGGGTTGCATTTAAAGAAAGAGAGAGAGCGCAGTACCATCGTCATCGTCATCATCTGCATCTTCAGCCTCCATGGGGTCATATTCTTCAGCATTGGCCGTGCTGCCATCATCTTCGTTCTCCTCTTCATCTCGAGACGACTCCTTTTTCACAGCTTTTTCATCGCTCTGGTTAAAAAACCACAAGTCACACAAATGCATGAAATCACACAGGATTTGTATGAGCAAACGACAGACTGAATGGACCAGATTGGTTTGAGAGGCTTGCCTTCTTTTTCTCCTCCTCATCCTCTTTGGTCTTCTTCACTACTGGCTCTTCATTCTCATCTTCTTTTTCCTTCTTTATTTCACGCTTTTCAGCCTCCTTCTTCTCGGCCTCCTTCTTAGCTTTCTTCTCCTTTTCCTTCTTCTCATCTTTGGCAGGAAAAGCAGCAAGGGCTTTATATATGCGGAAGCCAAAGTCTCTCTGTAGCATCTCGTTAAACAGCTCAGCAAATAGGGAAACCTTGACAGAAAAAGAGGTCACTGCATTATCAACCTGAACAGAGAGAAGTGTCTGTTTGTGAGACATTAAACAGATTCAGTTGTAGGGCGGGGACGTTATGTATTGCGATTCAGATTTTTTGTTTGCTGATTTAATCAATACACAACAATCATACACATCTAGAGACTGTATATCACGAGTCATATTTCCCCAAAAAATCATCATATTTATTTATTTTATTTCAGCAGCATCATTATTATACTGCATATAAAAGGTAAATTTAAAAAATAAAACTGTTTAATTTGGCTGTTCCTGATTATCAACCTAATGCCATCAGAAAATAATTAATACAATAGAAAACACAAATGTATACAGTATGTACTGCCCTCTCCTGACATGCAATGTCTCCACCTAGTGGTAGCTGTATTTTTAGGCCACTGGGAATGTAGAGTTTGAGTTTTGACCCTTTGAGGTTGCTGCTGCTGGTCACTGTTGAGTGTTGAAGCAGCAGCAGGAGAGTAGCAGATCGAAGTCAGCTGCTATTAGTTTGTTTCCACAAAGTAAAAGGTAATACATGCCTAGTACGAGCACACATGTAATTTTATGTGAAGCGTGTGAAGTTTAATGCATAATTTAAGATAATATTACCATGATTGTGATGATAATTTCTGTCTGTCTGTATGTATGTGTATATATACATATATATACACATACCCCAACAAAATTCTCACCTCAAAAGAATGCTCCTTGTTGTCCTCCAGTCTGTAGTCCAGCAGCACACTCAAGGACATGACACTGCAGTCAAATTTGCCATTCTTGGCTGCCCAGTTAGGGTGTACGATGATGGTGGGCTCATCAGGGAGGATGTAGCGCCTTTCTCTCCGCTGGCGCTCAAGCTCCTCTTGCCTCTTCCTTTCCTCCTCCTAACAGAGAAGAACACTTCGGTTAAAAGAGCACATCAGACAAAATTTAAGCTAAACCTAATTTCTGAAGGTTTTATAATATTGAAATTACATAAGTGATTTGTGCAATATAGGGAGATATCTGTATTATCAATATGCCACAATAAGAAAACTGTTACATATCATTACTTAATTGATACATTTCTCTCTACCTCTCGGTCTTCTTCAGTGCGAACTGGCTCTTCTTCCTCAGGAACTTTGCTCTCTTGTTTCTCGGGCTCCTTGGACTCCTCCACCTGCTCCTCTACCTTCAGTTGCTTGGTGAGGCGAGCGATCAGCTGCGACTTTAACCCCTTAGAGCTTAAAGAGCGACAATCAAGCTCCTTGCGGAGGTCATTTACCTACAAAGGGAGAAAGAGCATTTTAATTCCTTGTCTGTTCTACCAGTGTTGAGACCATCTCCTTGAACCATACCTTCATTGATTTCGGGTCAAGTTTAGCCCAGTGAGTGGGAGTACTAACGTCCTTCGATTCACCATCATCCTTCTCTTCTTCCTCCTTGACAGGAAATCATTAAGATAGAGACAGGCAGAGAGACAAAGAGGTGGGATAGCACACAGTCAGCACACCATTCAAGGTCTGAGTGAAGTTTAAAGTTGATCCGTGCAAGAAGCAAGGTCACATCTGTCTTTCATTGTCTCGTCCTAGTGAGCTCTCGACTGTGTTTAAGTCCACTGCTACTGAAGCGTACACAGGGAAGCTCTCTAGCTCTTATAAAAACCAACAGAAATGCCCCCCAGCTGCCAATCAATCAATCTGTGGAACACAAAAAAAGGTAAAAATCAATGAGAGGTGTGTCCAAAAGGTGTGTAGGTAGGTACATCAGGTGAACTGAAGCTGGTCTCCAAACGGAGTGAGGATAGGGTGGCCCTACCATGGTCTATGACTGGGGTATTGGGTATAGCCATTTAGGGGTTTTATACACCTACATCAGATAGGAGCCATCTGTCCAACCAACTGCCCTGGAAAAACCAAATCCTACATATAGTCCAAACGAGAATGTAGAATCCAACAACAAGAACAGACAAGAAACAGGACTTGGGGGAGGTTCTCTTTTCAAAGTCAGACAGTATCAAATCGAGGCGAAAAATCATATAAAAACACACATTTCTATAACAAACACATCATTTACACGCAACTGACTCCACAGATTCCAGCGTAAAGACATATTTCAGATTCCAGTGTTTAAAAAAAGAAAATCACCACTGGTTAAAATTTGAGAAAATATTTGAGACCACTGCTACAACAACGTGCAAGAACCCAAGCAGATTAAGCAAGTATTGTTTAAAATGCACAACAAAATGCCAGGATTAACACGAATGATTACACCCAGATTAGCACCCAATTATGAGACGTTTGAAGAGCTGGAAGTTGTTTTGTCAGTTGCGATCAAGGCCTACACAACACAACCTAGTCTCACTGCTTCCACTGTATGTGTCTGCTGGATGTGAGGGAAGGTGGATGTGCGGATGGAGGAATGGAGGAGTTGGAGCAGAGAAGGGGACAGGTGGAGGAGTAAACAGAAGAAGCCTAGGTGAGGTTTGGTGGAACAATAATCTGCCTGTGTTTGTGTCTGTCTGCGTGAATGGTGAGGTGTGCTTTGTGTCTGATGTGTATCTGGGGTTTGTTTTTTTTGTAATTCCTGTGCCTTCCTGTGAGAAGCGGAAATGAGAAGAGAGGGATTAGCGGTTCAGTGCCTGTTCTCCATCCGCCTCCTTTCGCTCGGCCGACAGCTTCTCAGCCAGCTGCTCCCGGAGTCGCCGTGACAGCACCTCCCACTCTGAGCGGGTAGGAAGACAATGCCAAACATCCGGAAGAAACAAAACCACTGTCTCCACATGAGCAGGGACTGTCCGCCCCTTGTGTGTCTCCTCCGGCCGATGATAGCGAATCTCTGCAAAACGATACCTGTCGCAAAGGAAGAAGGTGCATTGGAAAGAAACATTCTGGTCAGGGCACAGTATAAAAGGCAAGCCTTGCTAGGGCGAGCCTTCTACAGCTACTCCCTCCCATGAGATCACTGAATGATTGTACACATCATTACAGTGACCCGTCTCCCACACAACACACAGCATAGACAAATGGACCCAGTCTGCAGCTCTCCAACTGTTGTCACAGGTTACGGCAGCCATTTTGAGAAAGTTGACAGACAATCACATGAAATAAATCACACCCCGAAATTCACCCCCATTATAGTTTCAGCCAATTATGGCTGCATGTTCTGCATTTAACCTAGGATACACTTAACGCACTACATTAGGGTTGTGCGAAGAGAGACAGAATCAACAGGACAGTGAAAGCCAGTTAAATATGTAAGATATTTAACAGAGAGAACAGAAAAATAATTAAAAAAAACAAAGTAATAACAGTGTCTTCTGGTCCAGGCTACTGCTTCCAGCCACAGTCCATGCGTTTGGTTTTTCATCACAATGAAATATGCATTTATATGTATAGAGAGTGTGACAGAAAGAGAGAGCCAAGACGACAACACACAAAAGGCCAAAAAGAACATAGCACAAACACATTAAATAATAAAAGTAAATAAAAGGCAGCAAATTAACAACACAATAATCATTCATATAAAAAAAAGGAAACAAAAATATCACCCAACACGTCCAGGATGATCATTATGCAGCATATTATAGTTACTCAATCTGGGATTTTGATACCAGCAGAGTTAACAGGTTTACAGCAGAAACATAATCAATAACAAAAATAAATATTGATGAGAATAACAGCTCTTACCACTGAGTGCACAGACTAAGGTCTATGCCTGTGAGTGCCTTGCAACAGCGTATGGCTGTCTTTATAAGGACTGAAGGATCCTTCTCTGGGTCAGCTCCATCCAGAGAGGGAGACCAGTGACCACCAATGGCCATGGCCTCATCTTTACCTCTCATTCCCACCAAAAACTAAAGGAGAAAGACAGACAGGTACAAAGGAGAGCCACAGAGTAGAATAGGTTAGATGGAAATGGGAATGACAATATGGATAAGGGGTGTGGAGGGTGGAAAGAGCAAAAAAAAAAAGAGGATAGAGACAGAAAGACAAAAAGGTCAGCAGCATGTCAAAATAATCATACCTCTCAGGATCCACACCCAAGAGAAAGAAAGGGTTATTTACACAAGGGAGGCAACGCCAGTTACGACTCTTCCACATTGTGAGCACTCAGCAATGGAATAGGACCATTACAGCACATGGTACGAGCATGGAAAGTGTGTGATGTACCTTAATGAGTCTCGCAGGATGTTGGAAGGAGTCTTTGACTTCCTGGGTGTCCTCTGCCAAAGCACAGGACTTGTGATAGAGCTCCTCTATACTGGGGTTAGCCAGTAGCATCACCTGCAACATAGAGACCACAAAAGTTATAATCCTTAAAATGTTCATGAAATCAAACCCCTTTTCTCCGATATCCATTCAATGTATTTACATTCTGTAATTATTTTTCTGTATAGCAGATATTATCTGTAGAGCATGCGAACAGCAGTAGTAGCTGTACTTATATTAATAATGACTCTTAAACTCAACAATATTAACTGTGAGAAATAAAAACATGGGATGACACAGTCATATGGCAGTCGTACCTTAGCACTGTAGGTGTGGTTGGCATCAGGAGGGTCCAGCACAGCCGTATTCTTGACTAGAGGATCCACCTCTTTGTGCAAGATGTGGAAGTTACAGGCGTTATTAATCTGGAAGGGTCTTGTCAGAGGAAAAGCATCCACCCAGGTGAAGACAGCATCAAAGAAGTCGCTGGGAATGTAGAGGCTCTGATAGCGCCTCCTCAGCTCCATCATGTCACAGCTGGAGCTGGAGAACCCAGAGAGGACAGTTAATACCAAAACAGGAATTACTGTTTACTTTCACACCACAGACGTTTAGTGATGCGTTTCCACTGCAAATATTGTACTCACCCATCTAAGCTGAACTTGGAAAACTGGACGGTGTAGCGAGGGACAACCCTGCGAGGTCGCCGAGGTGAGCGGTCACGTCTGGGAGAGCGGTCTCTGGAACGTTTGCGTGCGGGTGAGCGCTCTCTTGACCGTCTGCGCTCACGGTCCCTGTCTCGGCTGAACATTTTAAGATAAACACTACGATGAATTAACTTACTAATATTTCAGTGACAAACATGAGATTTGGTCAGGTAATATGTATCGCCATCTCACCTGCGTTCCTCTTTCGTCCTGAGGATGAGCTCGGGGCCTCTGTCATTGCGACTGGGGAATCGAGGTGGGGGCTCAATTCGTCGAACGGGCTGCGGCTGTTGCATCATTCTCACTGGGGGTTGAAGTAGACCCCCGGAAAACACGTCTAAAGACATGGGAAATAACGTGAAGCATCTGCTTATTTACCCACTTAACAAACCACAAGACAGCTTTGATTTTGTTGTCGACATTGTGCCAAAACAGCTGCAAA